GTTTACGAAGTCTGTTGATAATGTAGGCTTGACTAAAAAAACTTTTATTCGAGAACATTTTTCCCATTTGTCAGAGAGCAAACGTTTCTGTGTTGAATTGTGACATACAAATAATGAAGCCCAAAAAATCAAATCACATCGTTTTTTGAATTCGTATAAATATTTTTTGAAAAAAAATCTGTAAATTACTGTTGCTAACATTCAAATTGCTCATGATTGATAGTTTAAACAATTATTAGCTGCATTTCATGTATGCATATTATATATATAATTAATTACTCTGTTAAGTTTCTTTTATAATTTTGTTTGAAATAAACATGTTACCGTTCAAAATTTAAAAAAATGCCTTAAAATCGGATATGAACCTCATTTTGCAAACTTTTATGCACTTATTGATTACCCATGGAAAGGTAAAACGCTTTTATCCACTATTTTTAAATTTTTCTCGAATTAATTACCATTAAAATTTTCTCATAATGTTTAAAGTTGGATGTTTCAGCAATTTCGAAAAATTTTATTTTATTTATCTTTAAGGGAGCAAAAATTCAGAAATATATATTTAAGTAAACTTGTAATGCAATCTAGTGAGTTCCGATATCTTAAATTAGTTAGATGTTAAAAAATAACCTTTCTCTGTAATTGTTCAAGTTTTTTTTAAATTTCTAATGTACTTCATTTTCTGTTCAGGGAGGGGGTAAACAATGGTGAGGGGGGGGAATCAATCCTGGAAGCAAGGAAGAATCAAAATAAAATATTTGGACGTGGGGCGCGCAATAGACTTACCTCCACGTGGTGCACCCTGGGCAACGTATACTCATATGGCAAAAATTCTATTAACCGGCAGTTGACTTCTGACTTCAAACAACCATGGCCTGACTGCATATCATATTCGACCCCTTCCATAGTACTTATCTTACCTATTCTCTGAATTTGTATTTGTCTGTCTCCTGTAAATCTGTGAATCATTTTTCTGTCCCCCTCTCGTCTTTTTGTCACTTTGTTGTTTCTCCTTCTCTCTGTGAAACCCGAAGTCAGCTAAAGGGCTAATGATAACTATCAAAACGCCTGCCACTTGAAACAAATATTCGGATTTTGGAACACTATTACAAGAAGTAATAAGTCTTAGCCAAAGAAGTGCGAGTTATAGAATCTGAACCCAGTAAACTTTATCCTCTACTAATGTTTGGTCGCTTCACATTATAAAATGTTCGTTGTCCTTCTGGAAATATAAGTAAATATTGAAATTTGTGGCCACTAATCAGACACCTCAGCAAAATGCAGACATTAAGTCAGAAAGGGGGGGGGGTGGAAATCATTTTTCACGGTCACGTTACCGTTCTTCGTTGGTTTGATTATCAATCAAAGATGACTTAGTCCAGTGTGAACAAATTGCTCCTTAGTTCAAAACTATGGCATAGATTTAATTATGTTGGGTAGGAAATCAATAAATGTTCGCCCATTGTGCAAACGGATGCTTGAGTTCTGTTTGCTCTTAGACACGGTGAAGGTAACAGGCCTGCTTGTTTTCTTCCTCGGTAGACAACTCTTCCACTGCTATTTACGAGCCATCAAGCTTGTTTTTTTACTGTTAAGGGTAAAAGTGTTCAACTCTAAAACAGCCGGCGAACACTTTAGACATTTCATTCTACATGTGTGACATCAAGTCATGATCGTCTCAAAGGCTATCATAGCCAACACGGAACTTTATGGTCAGGTGCTAACTGTGAGTTTTGCTATAAGAGGTTTAAATGATGCGTTAAAATTAACTCGGCCTTCTCCTACCAACCCCCCCCCCCCCCCCCCCCCCCCCCCCCCACCCCCTACCCTCCTCTCCCGTCCCTACCCAATCCGATTGTCGCATTTTCAGATTCATGTTACTTACTCAAAGTGGAAGCAGTTAAAAAGCGTGAATGACGCCGGAAACCAATCTAGAAGCATCAAGTTCTTCAAGAGAGTTCAAAGAAGCTACGAGAACGAATAGACAAGAGTTCCAAAGGATGGCCAAAAACAATATTGTATATTGTGGTTTATATTTATTTATTTATTTATGTATACTTTAATAATAAAAAGCACTTTAATGATATTTTTAAAGAGTTCGATTATTTATCGGTGCCCTTAATAAATTATTTATTTAGCACTACTTACTATAAATTTGATGACTGATTAACGGTGAAAGTTTGAACCTTCGGCAAAATTTAAAAAGCTCTATCAAATTTCGAAAGCTTAAAAACACTGTATTACCACCCTTTTAGTGAGCATGATTTCGTGAGCACTGTAAAAATGCACTGCAAATTTTACGCTTCAGATATTTGTAAATCTAAATGCGAAAGTTGACACTTGAGGGAAAGTGTTATTTCCTTGACAAATAGGCTTACGAATTTCGTCTTCTGATGAAAATCGCTTTCACTTTAACTAGTCCCATTAATTATGAGAATTAATATGATACCTAATATTTTGAAATGAATGCATGTTGGGCATTCATGTTTATTTACCCTAACTAAAATTAATATTTATTAATTTCAACAACTGGAAACATCTTGTAACTTTCAGACTTTTAATATCCAATGGTGCAAATTTCCTCGGATCATCGAATTAATAGTCAGAAGGGTGTTTGAAATACAATTGACTTGAATAATAATCACGTTTTAGACTTAAATTTCTTTAATTTTTTTGAAGTTCGAAGTTAAAGAACCTAAAACTTTCATATTTGGAAGGAGATTATTCATACAGATGTTAGGGGTGTTTTTATCTTTTTAATTTTATTAGGAAGGCAGAAGCTATCACTTAAAGACGTTGAACATGGTCGACGAATTTTGACCTACGCTACTAACGCGAAACCCCTACGTTGCAAATACAATAGACCTATTGTTAAAAATGTACTTTGTATTCAGTCAAAGTCCAAATAACACAATTGAACACTCTGCTGTAAAAAGACGGCGAATATTGTATAGACTTTGATTTATGAAACTCACTTAAAGTGTCTGGATTTCACTTAGTTGGCAAGTGCAGGATATTTTAGGGATTTTGAGGTTGGTCATTTATTTCGGACTTAAACGTATTTGCCTTGCAGTCTTTCCACACATTGATTTTATGCAGCGTCCTATTGAGCCAATGTGATCACCCTTACACGTGTTCCCTGAGCAAAGTATTCTAAGAATATCGCTACTGCGTTAATACGGTTATACTGGTACAATAAGTGCGAAATTTTACCATACTGTTGCATTTATCCTCTCTTATTCCTTATTTATTTCGATTTTTTCATCTAGTCTTGTCTAATTTCCTTCCTAATTCCCTTTGTGGCTCATCTTCCATTTATCCATCCAAATGTAATGTTTCCATTCTTATTCGCTATTACTCGGGCTATATAATCCCTACTTAATACCTACTAGACAGAATGTCAGCGGGTGATTGATTTATGAACAATTAACCCCAGATAACCTAACATCATTGCTTCAATAGTGTGGCCACATAACACGCTTTCTTCTGCCAAATGGAAAACAGTAGGCAGTGCTCCAATTTATGGGGGGGGGGGTATTTCCTCCCAGTAACGAGCAAATCAATTAAATTTAATTAGGTCATCTATGCCGCATTGAACTAGGTTTCTACTGCGACTATTAATACTGTAGCGAATTCCAAACTGTTTTGAATTATATTAATTTTCTGGCGGTTTTATGCTTAGACTTTTGCACGGCACTCACAATTGGGAAACTTGGTTAAATCTTCCTAAATGTCAATACGCGAACGTTAAAGTATTATCATACTGAAAAGAATCATTTTCTATTGATTATGACAAACGAAAACGCTGTGATTTATTAAATTTTAAAAAATTCACCAATGCACGCGAAAAATTGTCGTTGCTGAGGGGAAATTATACTTTCTATTCAACAAAAAAATTGTTGCATCATTGTGACTGTACTCAATGAAATCATCAATCAAATCTAGATAGCAAACCAACAGGTTAGAACGAAATTCTAGCATCTTTGTAAAAAGCCTATTCAAATGTGTGATGCATTACTTATTTTAACTTATTAGTGAATGCATGTGGTAAGTGAGAATGTAATTTAATGAACGCTTTAAGAACGAGTAACAAAAGTAATTGAATATTTTAATAGATTTCATTTTACATTTTTATTTTAAGGTTGAAAAGAATGTATTTATTGATATAAATAATAATAAGTGCCCTCTTCAGCCACATAATGTTCTTCAAAACTCCAGTTACATTAGACTTTACTGCTTTCTGAAAACTATTCTGTAAAATAATGAAATATCAGCGCCTACTCACACATACGCACAAGCATCAAGACATATATATATATATATATATATATATATATATATCGCGAATATTGATAAATGTTGAACAAAAATCGCATCTGCGCTTCATAACTTTCAATGCGACCATTTATTCACAATTTATAAAAGGCAGAATTAATGTAAACAACATTATTTACGCGAAGTATTTTTAGCGGAAACATAAAAAAATGCGGTTCAGCTATCATTTAAAAAAGATAATTCCCCATTAAACAGATAATAATCAATTTAAAAATATACGATTAACTTATGTATTTTGCTAAACAAAAAGCGATGTCAATTAAAATTAGTTCGAAATAGTGTTTAATTATCAAACGTCTGGACATGATGAAAAATTTTCGTTAAAATGTTTAAACCGGTTATTTTTAAGGTAATATTTATAGAATTTCTATTATTTATTTAAAATCATTTTAGCATTTTTAGTTATAAATACCATTCATATTAATGAAATACTTTTAACGCCCTTCTACTCAAAGCGCTTTTTAAACAGAGGTCACAGGTGAAATAGGATACAGTCGGTGGAAATCAGGTAATTTCGTTTGTTTTTTAAGGGCGCAATTTTAATATCTCTCCTGATTATTTTCCATTAGATTTGCGCTCTTATGTCTTGATGCCATTTTGTACTCTTCGTTATAATAACTGTAAACGCGCTTTAAACTATTTATAGGCCATTTGGCCCTTATTTCACAATGGGTCAGCTTATCTCTGGTCCAGTGACTTTTAAAGATACCAAGATGTGGCAAAATTCCCAGTTCATGGTTGCCGCATCCAGTATGCAAGGCTGGCGAGTGCGAATGGAAGACGCTTATGCCTGTTTTCTAAATCTTCCCTCCTCTTTAAATGATCCCGCTTCTCCGAATTCCTCTCAGTCAAATTCCACCGCCTACATTGCTGTCTTTGACGGTCATGGTGGAACTAAAATTTCAGAGTATGCTGCCTCTAATCTTCATACTAAGATTATGTCCCAACCAGCTTATGGTAAGATTTCACTGATGTAATTTCAATTCTTATCAAATTCGCCTACGGAATAATTATTATGAGATTATTTTAAGTCAACGCATATGCATCTTTTATTTCAGTGTCTTTGTTAGTAGTTATTCAGCCGTGTCTTTTAGTTAATCTATTCTATCCATCTCTTAATGTTTAATTTTTGCGGCCCTGTTAGTTAATTATGACATACTTGAACCATTTAATCATTCCAGCTTGAAAAATCCTCCCATTAGAAATTGACTGATGTTTGCTGTATTGCGTATCAGTCAATCCAGCGTTTGAAATGCGCCGTAAAATGGTTGTTTGAAAGAGCATTTATTTATTAACTTAGCCTTAAGTTAAATTACTCCACCTTCAAAGAATTTATTCGCATTTCGGCCGTAATGTATAAAAATAAGATTTACTTCATGGTGCAAGTAGCAAGCTACATCGCCATCCCTTCAGTAAGATTTATTTATATCAAATAGCAGACATTTTGGTAGTTATTATAAGCCCTTTGTTGACTTCAGGCTTCACAGAGGGGAAGGAACATCAAAGTGAAAGAGTGTTTCAAAGATGTAAAAGAGACAGACACAAAGGTAGAGAAAATGTGTGGTGAGTACTGTGAAAGTTGTGGAATATGACATACAGTGAGGTGATGGTAGTTTGAAGTCAGAAGTCAACTGCCAGTTAAAAGACTTTCCTTGCCGTGTGAGTATACGTTGCCCAGGGTGCACCACGTGGAGGTAAGTCTATCGCACACCCCCCCCCCCTTCAATAAGATTGATGTACCACTAGATGAAAGTCTTCTACTGTAAAGGACATAACGCCATTCATCGAGGAGGGTTCCAAGCAATTTTGACTCTGTTTTCGTCTGTTCGGTCCATGTTTCCACTACCTTTTTCAAGCCCTAATTGTAATAAAATCGTTCTACCTTTTACAAGCTGTTGTTTGTAAAAGAATATCAATGACTTGATTAGAACTCAAGGACTGGGTTAAACAAATAAATCCGTTGAAATTAAGAACACCAAAACAAAACTGCACAGCTGACGGGAAATGTAAATTTATTCGCTCCTTGGGTCGTACTTTGCCGGGACACAACTTTGTTTTGATGGCCGCATTTTTTCGCGCACTGTCCTTAAATCTGAATTTCCAGCTTCTGTTGCTGTGGCGGAAAATCCCAATACAACGAATGAAGTTTTCATTAAGTGATTAATAAATCGTTTGGAGCTTAATTTGGCAAAGCACTAACTCAAAACTGACTCATTTGGATCAGTAGCGAGGGCTTGTTCACCTCGAGTAAAAAGGGTGTTTGTTGAAGAGAGTGGTGGTTGATCGGTTTGTTGTCAGTGCGAGTAAGATAAAAGTTTTAGTGGGTCTGAGGAAACTAAGCTGAAGCTGAATTCTGGGAGAATCTGGTTACGACAGCCAAGCAGGAATGCAGGAGAAGAGATTTCAAAAGCATGGTGACGCAGATGGCATCTCTTCACGAGGTTCGCCACATTCATTAATTCAAGGGTGGGTTATGGTAGGCTTCTTTTCCCTCTAGTAATTGAATAAACTTGAGCTAATCGCTCCAGTCTAGTTCCACGATGTTTCTATTTCCTTAGAGGTTGTCTCCACCCAAAATGTGACTTCTTGTCGATTTGTAGAGTCAGACAATTTCACAAGGAGTGCTGGTTGCTTAAAAAGACCACTGTATCTAGCCTGGATCTTTCAAATTTTCTCTATACTTGGTGAGGATGACGATGGTAATAGCGGAATTATTGCCGATGTGGTGTTTAAATGCTATTGATTTACAGGGATTAATATTTATTTGCATTAACGCGCTTTAGCTCAGCCTTATTGAACCACTCGTAAATATTCCTATCGGAAGCTTTCTATGTGTCTACCCAGCACATGTGTTGACTGCAAGACCAATGGTGCAAACACTATTTCCCCATTTCCTCCAAGTTCCTCTACCTCTTTCCTCGTCCCGTCTTCATTAGTGCTCTTCCATTCTTTAAATAACCCGATTCATAATTATTAGTGGATATCTGCCAATCCTCGCTTTAAACGAGTGATAAAGCGCTAAATTACCTTTCCTATAGCTGTTCATTATAACAGCAGGCAATAATCAACGGAAGTCCTTGTTGGTCATTGGGTCTGGGGAACAGTATTTCCGCCAAATATTGCATGAGCATTGCCTCAGCGTAGACAGTTGCAACCTCGTCAGAATTCTCTTAAGTTGGAGGTTTCGTAGCGCTAACTTATTTGGCTTCTTTCTCACTCTTTTTTTAGCTCAAGGTGATCTTGTGGAAGCTATGCGTTCTGGCGTTCTTAAACTTGACGCTGAAATGCAGGCAAAGTTTTCAGGCTACTCCTCTCCCCAACCAACGCAAAAATGTTCCTTTGCTATCCCCTCCGATTCCCTAGAACTTCCCGACTTAGAAGGTTCCAAGCCCCTTTCAAGTGTGGACGTAGGGGGGTCTACTTGCATCGCCTTGCTTCTCCGTGGAAACCTCGTCTATTGTGCTAATTGTGGTGACAGCCGTGCAGTTCTGAGTCGTCAAGGTTTAGCAGAGGCCCTTTCGGTTGATCACAAGCCCACGATGGTATCAGAGTGGAGTAGAATTGTTGCCGCGGGTGGTTGGGTAGCGGCTAATCGAGTTAATGGAAACTTAGCCCTGTCTCGTGCCCTTGGAGACTTTGTCTATAAGCGGAATACGTCTCTAGCAGCAGAGGAGCAGATTGTCTCGGCTGAACCAGAAGTCACACAGTGTGAACTCAGGCTTGCAGAAACTGATGAGTTTATCGTGATTGGATGTGATGGAATCTGGGATGTAATGACCAATCAGGAGGTCATTAGCTATGTAAGGAGTAGGCTGGCGAATGGCAAATCGCCTGATAATGTGAGTTACTTTTAGACATTGTATCACCTTTTTTCTCTGTTTATCTTAGGCACTAAGTCTGAATAGCTGAAAAATTGAGCGTAATTTTTCTCCCATTCGAAGAGGGGGCAAAATTCTATTCCCCTCGGATCGATTCTCGTGAGCCTAATTAACTCAGCACTTGACTATTCGATAATCAACATCAAACATTCATTAGTTTGTTTAATTTTAGGTAAATTGTCAATTACTTCTCTTATCGGAAAGTGAGTAGAAAGTAGTAGTGTATAGCTTTCAATTACTTTTGTCATTTATCATTATCATTCCACAACAAGGCAGAAAATAGTAACAAAATTTTTCACTGCGAGGGACGGCAAACTGAAATCGCTCGGCAGAAAGCCTTATACATAACAATGAACAGGAGGGGGGGGGGTTGGAATAATGTATAAACAAAGTATGCCAACATGTGATCTTACTCCCATTGGATCTTTGAACTCTGATCATACAAATATTTACTAATTCTGCTCATAACAAATAAGCGCTAAAGGCTGCGGCTAACAATGAGCAATCAGTTTTCAGATATCAAGAATTTTTTGAACTGCAGCCTTGGTTAAAATTAAAGTGAGATCACTTTAACGATAAAAGATACGAATAGCGTGACAAGGGGGTGGTAGGAGTGAACTGTGTGTCAAAGCTCAAAGTAGCTTCGCTGCTACTGTGTAATTGTGATTTTGTGCAATTTAAACAAGGCTTGAAAACTCGAAGATAGTTGCGCATAAAACGACTCGGTCTAATATTTTTCTCGAAAAACCAATCGATGCAGTTTTCGAGACTAATTCAAATGAAGTCATCTTTATTTGCCTGCCGTGGGTCATACTACTTAATTCATATTAGTAATACTTGTTACTGCATCGCTTTTCTGGATTCGCGCATGTCAGCCCAAGCCGGCCGAACCCAGAAATCCAAGTAATCAAGCAACATCCCGAGATAAACAACTGTAGAAAGTGACATGATTCCCAGACATCTTTAGGAAAGAATTCCTCAGGGCGGATAGACGGAACCCGCCTAGTAAATGACTCAATTTATGTTGCGCATTTTGTCAACCGGACTCAGCCAGTGTGCTCAATCAATCCGTCCCCTGAGATAAGTAAGAATAGTCTTTAAAATTTGGGTCACGTTAACTAGCAATTTCAAATTTGGTACTTAGGTTTCCAAACCACCTTTAAGTTTGCGAATTTTCGTTCCCCATTTGTAATCTGCTTTCACCTTGATCTTTATTTTTTTCATATCCCTTTATATTAATACTTTGCAGAATATTGTTTAATAACGTTACGTCGGGTCATTATTTTAGTTCCTCTACGGATACATCAAGTTTGTAAAGAAATTCCTCGGTTCAAAAAATGCTCATTACATCCACAACCCATAATAGTAGTGGATACGGTGTTGAAACTCATTTGATGTTCCAATGAGCGCCAAACACGTGTGTTCTAGTTCTGCAAACAAGCACGTTAGTCGTCACTATAATTAGCTTGGAATATCTCGCGTGACAAATCAAGTATTTTTTTAACCGTGTCCTTTCGAATAGCTTGATACCTGTCCACTTTGTCCTCTCCATATCTACCGATCAACTTTACCTCATATTTTAGATATGTGAGGAGCTGATGATGCATTGTCTGGCACCCAATTGTAACCCTAACGGCCTTGGATGTGATAACATGACGGTAGTTATTGTTTGTTTTCTCAATGGAGGAACACTGGAGGATCTCAAAGAACGCTGTTCAAAGCAATGTCCGGCTGGAGACGCTATAGATGTGATATCTTAACAGTATTCTGAAATCTCTACCCTTTGGTTATGCCTTTCATCTCACACTGCATTTACCCTCATTGCTCTCATATCTTATTAGAATAAACGCATTTTTTTCTAACTTAAACCGTGGTCAATTATTTGTCCTCGGTAGTCTTGGGCCAATCATAATTCTCATGAATGAATACTCTTGTATTCTCTAAACCATTCCAACCACTAAAAGACCTTTGATCGCGTGAACTCTGATCTGAGAAGAGGCTAATGATATTGCCATTCAAAAACAATGCTTAACGGTAAGTTGGCGATTATCTATCATGCATATTTAAATGTTACCAAAAGGCTGTACAGAAAATGAGATGAGAAAAAAAAGAAAAGTAAAAATGGAGATGGAAAATTATGTGCTTTGCATACAACTAAATAGAGAAGCTTTCACCACAACCGCAAGTACCCTTAATGTTGGGATTATTAAAGACAAATTCACTTGCAATAAGAGTTTTTTGGTAGTCCATTTCAGAGCCGAGGAGAGTTAGTTGGGCCTTTCGATCGATAAAGATTTTCACACCATCTTGTTCGACAACTTCATCACCTTTTTGATGTTCTGTACAGAAGGAGAGCGTGTAGGAAAGACCGTTGCATCCACGGGTTCGAACACCGATTCGAAGGCCGAGAGCGTCGGGCTGTTGAGACATAAGTTCCTTCACGCGAGCCAGAGCACTGTCTGTTAGAGTGACTGCTTGAAAACGACCCTTGGGTGGCTTTGTAAAACGCTTTGCATTATTCATGGTTTTAATAGAGCTGGAGATATTTCCTGCATGGCGTTTAGTAGAAATGGAAATTCGAACTGCTGGACTGATAATATTATGCAGAGTAGTGAAAGCAATACGTGCCCATCCAATCATATCTACAATTCAAAATAACTAGCTGCTACAGACCACAAAATCAAAACAGATATCAAATATTAGAGAATGAAGTTATTAAAAGAAATAATTATGGGAATTTTAAAATTCGTAAGTAATCGAAAGACAACCTAGTCAACCCTATATATCACAATGCATACAAAACGACAGACGCTCCAATACCTTATAGGTTAATTCAAATTTGTTTCGTTATTGCTAATCACATAAACATCCGGGTAAGTTCCATAATATATAAAGTTATATGGCAGGTCAAATGCAATCATTTAGGGACCTAAATCTTAAAGCAAGCATTTGAATGAAATTACTTCATGCCATCATCCTCACTAGAATTTTAGTAAATTATTTTATAATTAAGGTGACTTAAAATTTTATTTTTTATTTAACAATATGTTCTTTATTTTGAAGTTATTTTTAATTATATTAGCATATCATTACAATTTTTATAAAGAATATTTATTGTTATACCGGGGCAATTAGAGATAGGGTTTTTCTTAGGTCATATAGAGAGGTGGTTTGGATCCGTTGCCTTTGTGAGATGAGGGGCTGTTATTTGCTCTATATTCTAATCTTTCCGATACTTTTTGTATCATCGCTATCAGAACAGGCATCTAATAATAGTCTTCTTGATCCTGAAAATAAGTGCCAAACTGAAATCAATTTGTATTGCAGAAAAACTCTATTGTTAAAAAATGAGTTCATTTTACTAAGATGTCTGATCGTATGATGTTATTCGTATATGTTATCATCTATAGGATGATCTTCATAAGTTGGAAAAATTTTCTGACAAATGCCATAATTTCCTCTGGCAACGATCTATCCAATTGACCCAGAGCTCAAATTTCAGATTAGCATCAAATGGAGTTTGTGATGATGATTTGAACAGAATCAACGAATGCAAACATATTCGCGATGACTCGCCTTCTAAAATTCCCTGCCTTTTTTATCATAAATCAGAGGTAACTTTGATTATACTCTTTAGCTCCCTAGGTTCAGGACCAGGCTTGCTACGAATATCTATTATTCGTTGGGGAAATCATACTTTCTGACTACCGTCTCGTATACAAGTTCATAGAAAAATGTCAAAAGGATGTAGGTGCCTACTCATGTGGACGAGTCGATAGTGGATTGAGTTCTGATGACAAGTTCAACTTTACTTCTCAAGGCAGTACAATTACCTGTCTTATGACACATATTGAAAAACTCACTTCTGAATGTGCCCATCAAATCTATCGAATATCTGAACTCCAATCTGATGATTATCATCTTGATCGGCCTCTGTTCTATGCCTGTCAAGACGATAGAGAGAGATTTTGTCCGGATGTTATATCAGGCGATGGTCGTGTTTTCGAATGTTTAATGAAGCACAAATTCGAAAGTGGAATGTCGGAGGAGTGTCAGGAGAAATTAACCAATCGGTTTGTTTGACATTATGATCGTTAACCTAATTTTTACATTGTTTTAGGCAAAAAGTTCGATCTCAACATTATCGGGCAGATTATGCGTTGAGTTCCGAATGCAAACAGGATATAAGCGACAATCATTGTTCTTCTGATTATGATCATCCAACTTCATTATCATCAATATTACTTTGTCTCGGGAAGGCTAAAAAGCTGTCCCCATCTTGTCAATTTGAGATTAAGTCCATCCGAAAGCAGCTTTTAGAAGATTATAGGGTATAGTGAAGGAAATATAGCAACAATAACGATTTCACTTTAGCTCACTCCAGAAATTCAAATTCACTGTGATGAACCTATAAATAAGCATTGCTCCGATTTAATGAAGCAACGTGGTGGGTCAGTTTTCCACTGTCTTCTAGGTGTTCAACGTCGATTTTCTAGTGGTGTCGATCCTCTAATTAGTGCCGAATGTGGAAATGCTCTTCATGATTTGGTCAAAATTTCTGATGTGGTATCGGATCCCCGTGTTGATCCCGTCATTAGGCGTTCCTGCGGTTCCCTTCTTTCTACTCGATGTAGCGCAGAAGTTATAGTGGAAGACGATGTCTATCAGTGCCTTTTGGATAATCGAGATGATCCTGCTATGGCAGATGAATGTCGGCATCATCTCTTTGAACTGGAGTTCTTTGTGACAAGGGATATTACTCTTGATCAATCGATATATCGGCAAGTTTGTTGGTTGTCTTGTTAAATGTTAACCTTTGAATGCGTAAATTTGGTTCGTAGTATGAAGTGATTCCATTGTACGGATCACAGACATTATCTTGAATTGAGACTTGTATAGTGTTTTTATTTCACGTTTCTTTCCCTGCAATCTGCAATGTCTGTATGGTTGAACGACTTATAAAATTGTAAATGAAAGCAGTGCCCATCGAAATATTCCTAAAGTCAATCCTCCATTACGGCCTTTCCATAATACTACTGATAGATTAAATGCCTCTTAAACACTGCCGGAAAGGTTAGTCTTAAGTTTTCTCAATAAATTATCGTGACCAAGCTTTACTAAAATCGTTCTCGAAATCTTTGGTTTGATCTCTGCCTGATAAGACTAAAACAGCCAATAATGTTGATTCTTGTGTTTTAAAGCGTTAGTTTCCATTGAAAAGTAACCTGGAAATAATCATGAAAGCGTTTTCCAACGCTCAGCTTGATTGGAGAATGGTGTCGTAGAGCACTCCTGGTTAGAGGCTCAAATTCTGTAGGTTTGTATTAGTCAGACTTAATCTGTGTGGATGGTCATTCCCGCCCCCTCCAACTGTACGTGCGTCGGTGTTAGTTTGACCCGTAATCCCTAACATGGCGGACAAATACATTGACCAATGTGTTGCAGGCACACGTTATTTAAGCAATTTAGGGCAGAGGGGGGTGACATCATAATTGGCTTATGTCTTTTCTTTGTCGACCATTCTCATTTACTACTTAATTGTTCTTTGTCATCGCACGGCCTTTCATATTATTAGCATATTCGTGTTAATTGCACCAGCAAATTCTTCAGAAATTATATTTATTTATATATATATTTATTTTATTTATAAATAAATAAATATTTTCACAAATTTATATTCTCCCAGTGGACTTGATTTTGAAGTGTTGATTAAATAGAAATCTCTATTTCAAATAGATGATTGCGCTAAAGTGTTAACAGTTAGGCTAAACTACAAATATCTATATCAAATGGCAGGCTTTTACATAGTTATCATTAGCCCTTTAGAGGGAAGGAACGTCAAAATGGGATAAGTAGAGAGGGGAGGAGCAGAAGAATGATTCACAGATGAAAAAAGACCAACAGACACAAAGACAGAGAAAAGATAAGATGAGTACTGGGGAAGTGGTGGAATATGACTTGCAGTGGGGTCATGGTAATTTGAAGTCAGAAGTCAACTTCCGGTTAATAGACTTTTTTGCCCCATGAGTATACGTTGCCAAGGTTGTACCACGTGGAGATAAGTCTATCGCACACCCTAACTTCAAAATTAACATTTTCAATTTAGGGCGTGTGAGAAGGACGCGGAAATCCTGTGCCACTACTCTGTTGAAAAGTGGCTGGAGCACCGACAGTCAAGTTCTCTGTTGGTGAAATGTCTGTGGAGTCATAGATATCCGCCTCAATACCGAAATGGCATGGAAATTGTGGGAACCCTAAGTGCGCCATGTCTGAGGAAAGTGAGTGGTCTCATGGTTGTCAGAGCCTCCAGTGTGGACCTTGACCCAGAAGTGTTTCAAGCATGCCTAGTTGACCTTGGCAAATTCTGTCTATTCAACAACCAGTCCAATTCTAGAAGGGATGCAGAAGATTCGTATTGGGATGAGGAGGAAGAAAAAATGCATGCAAATGGAATGACCTGTTTGGGAGACAATTTGGATCAGCTTCAGGTACGTTGGCATAATATTACGCCAAAATAAATATTTTTGTTATTTCAAATGGCAGACTTTATGATAGTCGTCATTAGTCATTTAATTGACTTTGGACCTCACAGAGGGGAGGAATATCAGAAGCAAAAAAATGTGAGAGGTGGAACAAAAGAATGATTGACAGATGTAAAAGAGACAGACACAAAGATAGAGAAGAAGGTAAGTTGAGTTCTGTGGAAGTGGTGGCTTATTGCATACAGTCGGGTCATGGTAGTTTGAAGTCAATTGCCAGTTAATGGACTTTTTTGCTGTATAAGTATACGTTGCGCACCCCACAACAAAGTGAATATTATTGGTAAAAATGTTGTCAGTTATATTCCTATTATTTCTCATTGAGGTTTTACTATGACTCAATAGTCACTATTGAATAAACGTGTATAACCTTGATCTGTAAATTATGGAATATTTTTGTACGTGTATTTTTCCGCTTGCAGCCAATGTGTCGTGAAGCGGTAGTTCAATATTTGCGAAATGTTGAGGAGTTTCCTGATCTAGACAATCGAATCGCACGGAGTTGTAGAGCGGCTCAGAGGCGTTTCTGCAGCAATTTGAAAGGAGGTCTTCAACGCTACCATGACCCTGGCAGTGTTCCCAATCCTGAAGGTGCTTACCATAATCTCAAATTCGAGTGCCTTGTTGAATACAAAACTCACCCCGAAATGGAGGCCGAATGCAGAGCTGCCATTGAACACTTCCAAATTTTAAGTAAGTAATATTTCATCAAGTTCTTCCATTACTAAGCAGAGTTTTGTTTATATGTTATGTCTCTGTGTGTGTGTCACAGTGTCATAAACAAAATGTGAAATGCTTTGAACTGTCGTTTGTTTCCGATGTGGTGGTAGTCCTAAATGTCATTAACTTGAGTTTATGAAATACCTCTGCATTATACTATATTATACCAAGTAATAAACTTAATTTTCTGCTTTATTGGAATTAAACTGCAAGAATACGTGTTTGTTTTAACTCGCTAAATTCTTGTTTATTAAAACAAGGTCTTAAGGACGTCCGAATCTCCAAAACTTTCTTTGACGATTGTCGATCCACTTTGGAACGCCACTGTCCCACTGTGACGCATGTTGCCGGCAGTCCATCAGTGAGCAAAGTGGCTGCAGTGATGTGTTTGAGTCGACTCCTACTTGAAGAAAGACTTAACACAATCGCGGGAAAGTCTCCTCCGGATGGAATTCCCATTAATTGTGCCCGGCACCTTCAATTCGAACTTCTGGCTAGATCGGAGTCTCTTGCATTGGATCCTATGCTTGCTCATGCCTGTGAATTTGATCGTAAAATTTACTGTGCAGATGTTCCAGAAGGCTTTGGTAAGGTAAGCTGCAACGTGTTTCAGTATTGCCGAATGACCACAATGACTCCAATTACTCTAAACAATGTAGAAAAAGCCGAAAACCTTCAACTTAAACGACGTTTTCCAATTAAGGAGATAACGTGGGCTATATGGAATATTGATGGGAGAGCAGAAGTTAAATTGTGTTCTCATGAACGAGCTTGAAAAATTCATGACCAATGATTTGCAAGAAGTTGTTCTTTGATCAATTTTGTAGCAAACGGCTAGATTTGGCAGAGAACTTGACCAGCTCGTGTAGTTATATATATTGTCACCTCAAATTTTTTAAAGTATAGACGATGGTGGTGAAATTAAGCACGTTTTTCTGGTGCTCGTCAGAAAAGCCTATTCTGGAGGGGGGGGGGGGTTGGAAGCAGAGTGACGCTTTTATGCATGAGGAGACAAGTCATTTTTGCCGTTTTGTTTATGAAATAGCCTAGTAGCAAGTGGGACATGGGAGGATGGGGAGGGGTAAATAAAAACGAATTGTTTTTGAGGCTCGATGTTGTTTTGGATAAAAGGAATAATTTTTGTCGAGGAAAAATTACTCTATTGCATAAGAGCAGATACATGTATGGTTGAAAACACCGCGACGATGGCTGAGATGGGAATCGGGCAGAAGTCAACCGAGAGCAAGCTGCAACAGGCTTCTTGCTTTTGTCAGCTAAATTTGACATATCAATGCAGCTCTATATATCCTCACTCTCCTAGAGCCTTCAATGTCAATGCAATTTCGAGTGTCGAAGGGTTTTGACTCTTCTATAGGAGGATCGTTAACTTAATAAAGTGTAAGGGTTGAGATTATCTCAGCATAGCGAAAATCGATTTGACATGAAATTATTCTGAAGTCCCTCAAACGCGGTCAATCGTCCTTTCTATCAGCAACTTCTTGGCAGATTTTCCTTTTCTTTTTATTTATTTTCAGAATACGGGGGGGGGGACGGGGCTATTTTCTTGCCAATGCTGTCAGAGTTTTCATTTGCTTCCCGTGTGCATATTTGTCTTGCCTGGCATTTGTATGCCCGAAAACCATGTGGCTGTTATTTGATTGGATTTATCCTGCAGTGCAAATTACGTTTCAGTATTTGTCTTTAGTCCATCAAACTAATCATTTTACAGGGAGTTGGTGGGTGGGTGGGGGGGGGGGGGGGGGGGGGGG